GCTCTTCTTCTTAGGGCACATTTTTCATGGTTGTTATTTTTTGGACAACCATAATCAAATATGGTCAGATGTTCCGAAGCTTAGTATCCTCTTAATGTGAGACATTAACAAGACGAGGGGTTTTATCTTCTCAGCAATGTATGTTTGTCTAAGTTAAATGTTGAACTCAGCCACCTACAGCTGAGCTTAGCCTATATGTTATACTCCTTGAAACCTACACCCTCAAATATGCCGGCAAGACAGTTGTCTTTAGACATTGACTCCTGCATGAGAGCAATCAAAGAAGAAATGCCACCGCACCAATACATCTTACCAACAGAAATGTGATCCTGGAGAAGTACGTCATTTTACACACACAATTTAAAAAGATATGTTTTAATAGTGCAGTGTAAGTATGAAAACAGACTTGCAAAATAAAAGCATAATTTAAGAGCCGAGGTTGATAAAAGGGAGGTTACTATTACAGCCTTCTTTTACATCTTATAACATCTTCATTGACACTCAGAAGAGAAATTTCTCAGAAAAAAATAAAGACAAAGAACCTGAGAAAGAAAAACAAATCCTATCCATGATTCCACAATCACCATTGAAGTCTAAGCAGAGAACATGGGAAACTAATCACCCTAAAAAAAAAAAGCTTTTATACTTGCAACTGTGACACGAGGGATTGATTGGCAAAAACACAGCAAGTAATATAATGAACACGAACCAGTTTAAATATGTCGCTTAAAGTGCTCAACCTGTTAATTCATCCTCACAGGACAGTTATTACTTCCTCCACTTCATGCCGCCAGTCAATGCTGAGAGCAATAAACACTCTATAACGATGTGCACAAGTCTGATATTTAGCTGGACGTGTAATGACTGACATTTCCCCCTTCAACTGTAGTGTTTACATCCTGGATTACACAACAGACACTGAGGCTGTATAATAGAAATAGAAATGTTTTTTTTTTTCTCATGAAATCACAAAAACAGTAAATAAATCATTTTTGCTTATTAAAAAAAACAAACCAAAATTCATACACAACAGTCCAATCGATGCGATATAATCTCAGTTGCACGAAAATGTGGCTGTTATGCAAACTCCTCCTCTGGCAGTAATCATTTACAATGATACAGAAAATATAAAACGTTTACACAATCTCAGACAGAAATCTGTAGTGGTCATCTGAATTTCACAAACAAAGCAGCAATACTCTATTAATGCTTCACTGTGTAAAGTATTTACACCCATTTTGAACAAAGGAAACCGCTCATACAAGCGGACGACCGTTATTGCAGCGAGGCGTTCTGTAGCTTATAGCGGAAGGCTTACCATCAGTTCATATTCAAGCACAAAGATTATGTTTCTATCACAGTTTGTCTTCCTGGTCCAGCCCCGTCAGAGGTACAGAGGGAAACAAGAGAGCTGTTGAAGGGTGGGATGCTCTCTTGTTCAGCTGTAGTGGGACTTCACTCTTCTTCATGTCCGACGTACAAAACTTTTTACGTACTGTACACGATTGACAGATTGTCCTTTGTGAAAAGGCGCTGTGTCTGCTGCGTGCGCACGCACACGCGCGCACACACACGCGCGCACACACACACACACACACACACACACACACACACACACACACACAC